ACAACTAACAAAGGATGTAAAGGGCCTCTTCAAGAAGAACTACAAACCACTGTTCAAGGAAATAAGAGAGGACATAAACAGATGGAAAAACATTTTATGCTCATGGTTAGGAAGAAACAGTATTGTGAAAAGGCCATACTGCCCAAAGTAATTTGTAGATTCAATGCTATCCCCATCAAGCTACCTATGACCCTCTTCACAGTACTGGAAAAAAACACCTTAAATTTCATATGGAACCAAAAGAGAGCCCACATAGCCAAGACAATTCTAAGCAAAAAGAACAAAACTGGAGGCATCATACTACCTGACTTCAAACTATACTACAAGGCTACAGTAATCAAAACAGCATGGTACTGGTACCAAAACAGAGACATAGACCAATGGAGCAGAACAGAGGCCTTGGAGGCAATGCCACACATCTACAACCATCTGATCTTTGACAAACCTCATATAAACAAGCAATGGGGTAAGGATTCCCTGTTTAATAAATGGTGTTGGGAAAACTGGCTAGCAGTGTGCAGAAAGCAGAAACTGGACCTCTTCCTGACACTTTACACTAAAATTAACTCCAGATGGATTAAAGACTTAAACATAAGACCTAATACCATAAAAACCCTACAAAATTCTAGGCAAAACCATTCAGGACATAGGCATAGGCAATGACTTCATGACTAAAACACCAAAAGCATTAGCAACAAAAGCCAAAATTGACAAATGGGATCTAAATAAACTCCAGAGCTTCTGTACAGCAAAAGAAACAATCATTAGAGTGAACTGGCAACCAACAGAATGGAAAAAAATTTTTTCAATCTACCCATCTGACAAAGGGCTAATATCCAGAATCTACAAACATCTAAAACAGATTTGCAAGAAAAAAAACACCCATTCAAAAGTGGGCAAGGAATATGAACAGACACTTTTCAAAAGATATATATGAGGGCAACAAACATCTGAAAAACTGCTCATCATCACTGGTCATTAGAGAAATGCAAATCAAAACCACATTGAGATACCATCTCACACCAGTTAGAATGGTGATCATTAAAAAATCTGGAGACAACAGATGCTAGAGAGGATGTGGAGAAATAGAAACACTTTTACACTGTTGGTGGGAGTGTAAATTAGTTCAACCATTGTGGAAGACAGTGTGGCAATTCCTCAAGGACCTAGAAATAGAAATTCCATTTGACTCAGCAATCCCATTACTGGGTATATACCCAAAGATTATAAATCATTCTATTGTAAAGACACATGCACACGTATGTTCATTGCAGCACTGTTTACAATAGCAAAGACCTGGAACCAACCCAATTGCCCATCCATTATTGACTGGACAAGGAAAATGTGGCACATATACACCATGGAATACTATGCAGCCATAAAAAATGATGAATTTGTGTCCTTTGAAGGGACATGGATGAATCTGGAAACCACCATTCTCAGCAAACTCACACAAAATAGAAAATCAAACACCACATGTTCTCACTCATAGGAAGGTGTTGAACGATGAGAACACATGGACACAGGGAGAGGAGTACTACACACTGGGGTCTGTTGGGGGCAGGCAAGGGAGGGACAGTGGGGGGAATGGGGAGGTCAGGGAGGGATAACATGGGGGAAAATGCCAGATGTAGGTGACAGGGTGAAGGAGGCGGCAAACCACATTGCCATGTGTGTACCTATGGAACAATCCTGCATGATCTGCACATGTATCCCAGAACCTAAAGTACAATTTAAAAAATTTTTTCCTCCAAACACTGCTTTAAATATGTCCCATAGATTCTGGTATGTTGTGTCTTCATTCTCATTGGTTTCAAAGAACATCTTTATTTCTGCCTTCATTTCGCTATTTACCTAGTCAACATTCAAGAGCCAGTTGTTCAGTTTCCATGAGGTTGTGTGGTTCTGAGTTAGGTTTTTAATCCTGAGTTCTAATTTGATGGCACAGTCTCTGAGAGACTATTTGTTATTATTTCTGTTCTTTTGCATTTGCTGAGGAGTGATTTACTTCCAATTATGTGATCAATTTTAGAGTAGCTGTGACACAGTGCTGAGAAAAATGTATATTCTCTGGATTTGGAGTAGAGAGTTCTGTAAACCTCTATTAGGTTTGCTTGGTCCAGATCCAAGTTCAAGTCCTGGATATCCTTGTTAATTTTCTATCTTGTTGACCTGTCTAATATTGACAGTGGAGTGTTAAAGTCTCCCACTATTATTATGCGGGAGTCTAAGTGTCTTTGTAGGTTGTTAAGAACTTGATTTATGTATCTGGGTGCTCCTGTATTGGGTGCATATATATTTAGGATCGTTAGCTCTTCTTGTTGCATTGATCCTTTTACCATTATGTAATGCCCTTCTTTGTCTCTTTTGATCTTTGTTTGTTTAAAGTCTATTTTATTAGAGACTAGGATTGCAACTCCTGCTTTCTCTCTCTCTCTCTCTCTCTCTTTCCATTTGCTTGGTCAATCTTCCTCCATCCCTTTATTTTGATCCTATGTGTTTCCTTGCACATGAGATGAATTTCCTGGATGCAGCACACTGATGGGTTTTGACTTTTTATCCAATTTGACAGTCTGTGTCTTTTTATTGGGGCATTTAGCCCATTTACATTTCAGGTTAATATTATTATGTGTGAATTTCATCCTGCCATTTTGATGCCAGCTGGTAGTTTTGCCCATTAGTTGAGGCAGTTTCTTCATTTGTCAATGCTCTTTGCCATTTGGTATGTTTTTGGAGTGGCTGGTACTGGTTGTTCCTTTCTATGTTTAGTGCTTCTTTCAGGAGCTCTTGCAAGGAAGGCCTGGAGGTGACAAAATCTCTGAGCAATTGCTTGTTCATAAAGGATTTTATTTCTCCTTTGCTTATGAAGCTTAGTTTGGCCAGATGTGAAAGTCTAGGTTGAAAATTCTTTTCTTTAAGGATGTTGAATATTGGCCCCCACTCTCTTCTGGCTTTTAGAGTTTCTGCTGAGAGATCCACTGTGAATCTGATGGACTTCCCTATGTGGGTAACCTGGCCTTTCTCTCTGGCTGCCCTTAGCATTTTTTCCTTCATTTCAATTCTGGTGAATCTGACAATTATGTGCCTTGGGGTTGGTCTTTTTGAGGAAAATCTTTGTGGTATTCTCTGTATTTCCTGAACTTGAATACTGGCCTGCCTTGCTAGGTTGGGGAAGTTCTCCTGGATAATATCCTGAAGAGTATTTTCTAGGTTGGATTCATTCTCTCCCTCACATTCAGGTATACCTATCAAATGTAGATTAGGTCTGTTCACATAATCCCACATTTCTTGAAGGCTTTGTTCATTTCTTTTTACTCTTTTTCTCTCTAGTCTTGCCTTCTCATTTTTATTTCATTGAGTTGATCTTCAATCTCTGATATCCTTTCTTCTGTTTGGTCAATTTGGCTATTGAAACTTGTGTATGCTTCATTAAGTTCTCATGTTGTGTTTTTCGGCTCCATCAATTCATTTATATTCTTCTCTAAGCTGTTTATTCTCATTAGCATTTCATCAAATCTTTTTTCAAGGTTCCTAGTTTCTTTGCATTGGGTTAGAACATGTTCTTTTAGCTCTGAGAAGTTTGTTATTACCCATCTTCTGAAGCACTATTTCTGTCAATTCATCAGACTCATTCTCCATCCAGCCTTGTTCCCTTGCCTGTGAGAAGTTGTGATCCCTTGGAGGAGGAGAGGCATTATGGTTTAGGGTGTTTTCATCATTTTTGCACTGGTTTCTTCCCATGTTTGTGGATTTATCTACCTGTAGTCTTTGTAGTTGGTGACTTTCAGATGGGGTCTCTGAGTCAACATCCTTTTTGTTGATGATGAAGTTATTTCTTTCCGTTTTTTAGTTTTCCTTCTAAAAGGTCAGGTCCCTCTGCTGTAGGACTGTTAGAGGTCCACTCTAGATCCTGCTTGCCTGGGGATCACCTGTGGTGGCTGCAGCACAGTAAGGGTTGCTGCCAGTTTCTTCTTCTGTTATTTTTGTCCCAGAAGGATACCCACCAGATGTCAGCCTGAGCTTTCCTTTATGAGGTGTCTCTTTGGATATATGAGGGTCAGGGAGCTGATTGAGGAGACAGTCTGTCCCTTATAGGAGCTCAAGTGCTGAGCTGTGAGCTCTGTTGTTCCATTCAGAGATGCTGGTCAGGTACATTTAAGTCTGCTGCTACAGAATTCATAACCGCCTTTTTTCCCCAGGTGCTCTGTCTTGAGAAGGTGGGTCTTTATTTATAAGTTCCTGATGTGCTGCTGCCTTTTTTCAGACATGCCCTGCCCAGCAAGAAGTTAGCCTAGTTACTGCCACCAGAGGCATTGCTGAGCTGCCATGGGCTCTGCCCAGCTGCTATGTGAACTTCCTTGTGGTTTTGTTTATAAAGGTATAGTTGGAATTGCCTCTGTAATGGCAGACTGCCTCGGTAATGGGAGACTGCCTCAGTAATGGTGGACTGCCTTGGTAGTGGTGGGCTGCCTCAGTAATGGTAGACTCCCTTCCCCCAACTGAGTGGGACCCCTTTATTTCAATGACCACTCTCCAGTTAACTGGAGAGTGGTCATTGAAATAAAGAAGAATGGTCCTAAGGGATCACTAAAGGTTTAGTTCCCAGAGTGCCAAAAATGAAAACCAGTCTCACCCTACTGATCTTGAATAAAGATACAGAAATATTCTTGTATTGCTGTTTCCCAAAGCCATAGGTCTACAAGAGGTCAAACTTTCTAGTCTATTTCCTGGTTGATCCAATGGTTCATTTCCATCATGGATATTAAACTAACAACCATGTGGTATTATCTCAGCTACTGTATTTAAAACATGACTTGTCACTAACAGCAGGTGGAGGACAGAGACCTCCACCCTTCCATGCCTACATTCCAGCCTAAGTTCTGTTTTGAGATTATAACCCAGTTATCAAGAAGGCACAACACATTTTATTTGTAAGATCAACTCCACATCTAAAAATGATACATAGACATCTTATTATAAGAGACTATGCAAGGGCATCATGGCCTTTGTTTAAAAGGAACACTTTTAAAAAACATATGAAGCAATGGGCACTACACAATCCAATGTCCTCTCAGGAAGTGGCACCAAAAAGTGATGAAATCTGTAGTGAGTGGTTCAAAAATGAAATTTTAAGGAAGATATGGCAACAGAGTTATCAGGATTGTGATGCAAGAACCTAGAATATAGCTACATTTGCGCTCTCATGGACTAATGGATGAGGCATACTAAGCAGAAGTGACTGATGAGATGCCTCTACCTGCAGAGAAAAAAGAAAAGTAGTTAATAAAAAGTTTCCAATGTAACCCATTGATAAGCTTAGCACAGAAAACGCATTGACTAATATATTGACCAGTGAACATGGAGGACCTACTATGTGCCAGAGATTAAAAGGAAAGGTTGAAAAAGCTGAAAATTTTATTCAAGTGTCTGAGCACTATTTAAAATGAATGGTTTATCAACTTGGATTATGTTTGAACTATACTAGAGATTTTTTTTCTCATAACCAGAGTAAAGGGAGACTTACGAGACAGGATATATGCAGACACATAGAAGTAGCATTCATTCTAAACAAGACTGAAATGTAATGTGAGACCCATCACATAGTTAGACACTATTTAAACAACAAAATCCCTCCTTAGTAGAGATTTGAGCTTTTTTCTTCCTTATAACAATATGATCATTTCTATGTGGACACTGCCATGTTTTGTCTCTTGTAAGAATCCTCACCAAGGAGTCTTGAAAATACGGAATCCAAGGCAATCCAAATAGACAAGTGTTGGTTAAGTTCCAGGCAGAATGAGAATTCTTACAGGGAGGATCATTTCGGAATTTTATAAGATTGTTATGGATAGTGCTTGAAGTGGTATCCAAAGATGAGCTGAAAGTTTTAAAGAAAACACAATTTTTACATCAGATTACATTTAAAAATAAACAAGCCAGTAAGACTCATTTTGCTTCAATTCATTTTTGTTCTTTCTACTTTAGCAGCAGATTTACTAGCACTGCTACCACTCCGCCCTCTACTTTTGTTTTGTTTTTGGATTAACACACCTCCATTTAGGGGTGTTAGTCCAAAAAAAAAAAAAAAAAAAAAAGTCCTACCATTGGAAAATATATTCCAAACAGAAAACGTTTGCTCTGATAAGCTAAATTAAATCCCCAAGACAATTTCTTACAAGTATAAACAGAATCCTGGATCTTTTAAAAGTTGTCATTCATAAACTATTAAAAGGTTAACAACATTCATCCTTTGATCCTGAAGATATAGCAAAGTTTTGGGGATTTCCCCAAAAGTCATAGGGCTAGAGTATATTAAGAAAACATCTAAATTATTGCTTTTAAAATGTATTTTAATACAATTATGCCCATTCAAGCCTTTTGATTTATACAAGCTATCAAAATTAGGGGGAAAGTTAAGAATTATGTAAAATATTAATGGTCCATCTTGGTAAAAATTCCTCATGTGCTTGAAAATATATATATTCTGCTGTTGTTCTGTGCAGTATCCAGTAAAGGCCAATCAGATCAAAAAAAAAAAGAAAGAAAGAAAGAAAGAAATAGAAAGAATTATGTAGAATAAAGAACAGTTTAGGCTAAGATTTTTTTTTTTAATTTGACCTTAAAGAGTTGAAAACTAATTTGACTACCATTCCTGTTTCTCCAAGTATCCTCTGATCTGCGGGGAGGCAGCTAGGTGAGAAGGTATGTTCAAGTCCTGACTTGGCATTCCCTAGCTACATGATCATGAACACAATCACCTCTGAGCTCTGTTTAACTCATTTTACTACATCTTACTTGGATTTCCCAAAAGCAGGTCTTGGCAAGGACACTTAGGTGCAGGCGATTTATTATAGAAGTATTCCCAGAAAGGGAATGGGAGAAAAGCAGGACATAGAAGATAAAGACGACAAGCCAAAATGCTATTTAAGGCAGAGTCCTTGCCTCAGGAGGACCCTCAAGTGAGCTCCAAAGTTAAATCCTGCCTCCAAGTTTATCCCTGACTCAAGAAACAGAGCTGGCTTTTCACAGTCTCAAATCACTCAATCATGAAAGTGGGAAGGATTTTCTAAGTTTCCAAGCCCAATCCATATCACTGAAAGCCAGATCACACACAAGCAGAGAGAGAGGCAAACAGAAATGAGGGGGTGTTCCAGGGGATTTGGCCAGAGCATCTGTAATAGCCAAATGTCATAGGTAAAGACCTCATTGCACCTGAGAAACTATGCAAACCAACATCGCTCTAGAGTTCTAATCATATAAAGCTTCATATTCAAAATGTTTTCCTTTTAATTAGTTCTTAAAGGATAAACTGTGAACCATCTTGCTCATTATACTCACCTGTATACAATGCACATCAAAGGAATTTTGCCAGTAACTCCTTTCTGCATTATATTACAGTAGAGTGTTGAATAAAAAACTGTTCCATATGAGAAAACCTAGTGGGACAAAAAGACTTTGTAAGTTGAGGTCATGTCACACAGGCATTTTAAAGACATTTGAACAATGAACAGATCAAGTCAAGATGTAAGCTCTTTATACTACAACAAGGTCTCTCTGCATAGAGCTGGGGAAAAAACTGAGTCCCCAGAAAAATTAAGAAACCACCATCCAAGGCTTTTGATCATCAGCACAATCAAATATTTGTGGAAATAAAATAAGATGGTAATCTTGAATTCCCAGACTAGAAACAAGATTATGATTCTAAAGGTTTTTTTCCCTGAGATTTGGCCCTTAAACATTATCCCAAATGTCTGAAAATATTGAACCAATTGGAGATTTGTGTTTTCTGAACACACGCTTATTGTGAATACATCAAAAACGCTATGTTGGTCCACCATTGTGTCTCATACCTGTAATCCTGCCACTTTGGGAGGCTAAAGAAGTAGCAGGAGGATTGCTTGAGCTCAGGAGACCAGCCTGGGCAACATAGAAAGACCTCCTCTCTACTAAAAATGTAAAAACAATCAACTGGGTTAAGTGGTTCCAAGATACTCAGGAGGCTGAGATGGGAGGATCACTTGAGCCCAGGAGATGGAGGCTGCAGTGACCCATCATGCCACTGCACTCCAGCCTTGATGACAGAAAAAGTCTCTGTCTCAAAAAAAAAAAAAATGCCACTATGGTTATGGTCAAAGATTCATAATCTTAACACAGGAGTAACTTCTGTAAATGTATTTAAGTATATGTTTTTCTATTGATAATTTTTACAAAAATGTCTTACTGAATTACTATTTTTCAACCTGTTAAATTATACAATAAATATCTCATAGAAATAAAATATTTCCAAAAAGAATGAATAGAATATAGCATTCAATAGCATTATTACTTTTCCATTGTATTGCTATTGAAGGTTATTTTAGTTGAGTATATAAATGATATCTAAAGTGTATAAAATAAATACTATATGCTTCTTACTTCTCTTGGTAATTATGTATTCAATAGTCACTTCTAATATGCAAAGCGAAGACGACCGAAAAATCCACTTTTTCATAAAACAGTAAGAAAATCACAGAATTTTTTTTTTATTTTTTTTATTGCATTTTAGGTTTTGGGGTACATGTGAAGAATATGCAAGATTGTTGCATAGGTACACACATGGCAGTGTGGTTTGCTGCCTTCCGTCCCCTCACCTGTATCTGTCATTTCTCCCCATGCTATCTCTTCCCACCTCCCCACCCCCCATCCCTCCCCCATTTCCCCCCAACGGACCCCAATGTGTAGTGCTCCCCTCCCTGTGTCCATGTGTTCTCATTGTTCAACACCTGCCTATGAGTGAGAACATTCGGTGTTTGATTTTCTGCTCTTGTGTCAGTTTGCTGAGAATGATGGTTTCCAGGTTCATCCATGTCCCTACAAAGGACGTGAACTCAAAAAAAAAAAAAAGAAAGAAAATCACAGAAATTATCATATTCAACATTTTTTAGACTCTGAATATTATCCTAAGTTTTGCAACAATTCAAGGAGCATTTATTGAAGAAAAAAGTGGTAGAATCTCAGAACTATAGCTTTGTGCATTTTAACTTGTTCTATTTCAATTTCCCTCTTCCCAGTCCATAGTATACATGAAAGCCAACAGCCTAGCAGAATCCAGAGGAAACAAATGGTTTGGAGCTCCTCAAAAGCCCATCTTCAGAGAATCGTCTTTTTTTTTTTTTTTTTTTTCACTTTTCCTGAAATGCTGCTTATTTTGACTTGACTCTGAATGTGTTCAAAAGGAATAGACCTATAACAAGTAAAGAGATTGGATTAGTAACCGAAAACTACCCACAAATCACAAATGAAGTCCAAGCACCACCAGTCTCCACTGCTGAATTCTATCAAACATGTAAAAAAAGAATTAAAACTAGTGCTTCCTGTTTACAATAGCAAAGACCTGGAACCAACCCAAATACTCATTGATGATAGACTGGACAGGGAAAATGTGGTACATATACACCATGGAATATTATGCAGCCATCAAAAATGATGAGTTCGTGTCCCTTGTAGGGACATGGATGAACCTAGAAACCATCATTCTCAGCAAACTGACACAAGAGCAGAAAATCAAACACCGCATGTTCTCACTCATAGGTGGGTGTTGAACAATGAGAACACATGGACACAAGGAGGGGAGCACTACACACTGGGGTCCGTTGGGGGGAAATGGAGATGGGGAGAGATAGCATGGGGAGAAATGACAGACATAGGTGAGGGGAAGGAAGGCAGCAAATCACACTGCCATGTGTGTACCTATGCAACAATCTTGCATGTTCTTCACATGTACCCCAAAACCTAAAATGCAATAAAAAAAAATTTTTTTTTAAAAACTAGTGCTTCACAAAATCTCTCAACAAATAGAAGTGGAGGTGAGGAGAGGCCAAGATAGCCAAGTAGAAACAGCTCCAGTCTGCAGCTACCACAGAGATGGACATAAATGGTGATTGAATTCTGCATATCCAACTGAGGTACCCAGATTCTCTTGGTGGGATTGACTAGGTGGTTCATGCAACCGACAGAAAGCAAGGAAAAGAAGGATGAGGCAATGGTTCACCCAGGAGGAGTTGCATAGGGCAAAGGGACACCCCCTCCCCCAGTCAAGGGAGGTGGGTGAGGGATTGTGCTACCTGTCTGGGGAACTACACTTTTCCCATGGATTTTTACAATCCACAGATCAGGAGATTACCTCATTAGCCCATCCCATCAGGGCCTTAGGTCCCAAGCACAAAGCTCTGCAAACCCATGGCAGCCACTCAGGCAGGAGTGTTTGCATACTCTGGCAGCTCCTTCAACTCCAATGAGGCAAGAGATCTGTTCACTACTGTGGGAAGAGGACTGAAGCCAAGGGTCCAAATGCCTTGCTCAACAGTTCCCACTCCCATGGAATCCTGCAAGCTATGACCCACTGGCTTGTAATCCCCCCTGGCCAGTGCAGTAGCCTGGAGTCGGCCTAAGATGACCAACTTCCTGGGAGGAGGGGCCACCACCATTACTGAGACTCTAGTCAGCAGTTGGAAGACTCCCCTGCCCTGCCCCAGTGCAGTGTACCTGCTCTGCTAAGGGATAGACAAGACTGCTTCCTTAAGCAGGTGCCTTATTCCATGCCTCCTGACCACATGAAACCTCTCAACAGAGGTTGCCACACACCTCATACAGGAAAGTAACTGCTGGCATTTTGTTCATGCCCCTCTGGGGCAAAACTTCCAGAGGAAGGCACAGGAAGCAATCTTTGCTGTTTTGCAGTCTCCACAGTTGATACCCAGGCAAACAGGGTCTGAAGTGAACCTCCAGAAACTAAAGCAGACTTACAGAAGAGAAGCCTGACTGTTAAAAGAAAAACAAACAAAAAGAAACAACATTAAAAAAAGACCCCACAAGAACACCATCCAAAGGTCAACAGCCTCAAAGGTTAAAGGTAGACAAATCCAAGAAGATGAGGAAAAACCGATGCAAAAGTGCTGAAAGTTCCAAAAACCAGAATGTCTTCTCCAAATGATTGCAACACCTCTCTAGCAAGGGCACAGAACTGGGCTGAATCTGAGATGGATAAACTAAGAGAAGTAGGCTTCAGAAAGTGGGTAATAATGAACTTCACTGAGCTAAAAGATTATGTTCCAACCCAATAAAAAGAAGCTAAGAATCATGAAAAAGGTTACAAGAGTTGTTAACTAGAATAACTAGTTTAGAGAGAAACATAAATGACCTGATGGAGCTGAAAAATACAGCACAAGAACTTCATGACGTAAACACAAGTATCAATAGCCAAATTGACCGATTGGAAGAAAGAATATCAGAGCTTGAAGATATCTTGTTGAAATAAGGCAGTCAGACAAGACTAGATAAGAAAGAGTGGAAAGGAACAAACGAAACTTCTGAGAACTGTGGGACTATGGAAAAAGACCAAACCTATGACTGATTGGAGTACCTGAAAGATATGGGAAGAATGGAACCAATTTGGAAAACACACTTCAGGATATCATCCAGGAGAACTTCCCAACGTAGCAAGACAGGCTAACATTCAAATTCAGGAAATCCAGAGAACCCCAATAAGATACTCCATAAGAAAATCAACCCCAAGACTCATAATTGTCAGCTTCTCCAACATTGAAATACAGGAAAAAATGTTAAGGGCAGTCAGAGAGAAAGGCGAGGTCACCTGCAAAGGGAAGCCCATCAGACTAACAACAGACCTCTCAGTGGAACCCTATATGCCAAAAGAGATTGAGGGTCAATATAAAACATCCTTAAAGAAGTTCCAACCCAGAATTTCACATCTGACCAAACTAAGCTTTATAAGCAAAGGAGAAATAAAATCCTTTTCAGATAAGCAAATGCTGATGGATTTCATCACCAGAAGGCCTGCCTTGCAAGAGCTCCTGATGGAAGCACTAAATATGAAAAGGAAAAACCATTAACAGCCACTGTAAAAACACACTGAAGTATGCAGACCAATGACTCTATGAAACAACTACATTAACAAGTCTGCAAAATTAACCAGCCAGCATCATGATGACAGGACCAAATTCATACATAGCAATATTAATCTTAAATGTAAATGTGCTAAATGCTCCAATTAAAAGACACAGAATGGCAAGCTGGATAAAAAGACAAGACCCATTGGTGTGCTGTATTCAAGAGACACATCTCACATGCAAAGACACAAATAGGATCATAATAAAGGGATGGAGGAAAATTTACCAAGCAAATGAAAAGCAGAAAAAAGCAGGAGTTGCAATCTAAGTTTCTGACAAAAATGACTTTAAACCAACAAAGTTCAAAAAAAGACAAAGAAGGGCATTACATGGTAAAGGTTTCAATTCAACAAGAAAAGCTACGTATCCTAAATATATATGAACCCAAAACAGGAGCAGTCAGATTCATAAAACAAGTTCTTAAAGACCTGCAAAGAGACTT